TTCATCAGCTCCTTCTCCTCTAGCAGACCCTTAATGTTGGCTATTAATAGATCAAACCCCAGATCTATATCATGGTCTTCTTCCCATTTTATTTGCTCCCCTGGCGATCTCATCTACATCTGACTTCAACCATCTTATGACTGCACAGTGTATAACTCCAGTTGAGACCCCCGGCTTTAGCTCCAGATACCATATACTCAACTATGCGTGTGTCACAAGTACATCCAACTCAACCTGTCCAAAACTGAACGTAGCCTTTTCCCCTGTAAATCTGTTCATCTGTATATGTTCCTTACCTCATTGAATGGCCTTGCTATCCCCCTCGGTGCTCAGGCCAACTTACCTACCTGGTTACCAAGTCAATTAAGGTTCCTCTTAGTCTTTCATCTCCCTTCCTCACAGTCTATTCTACTCAGTCAATAAATCTTACTAAAATACAATACCTTCTTAAAATCCTTCTCCCCTCCTGTCAGTACTCTCTTAGGTTAGGACTTAAACTCCTATTGCCTGAATGCCTGCCGTAGCCCTGTATCTAGCCTTTTAGACCCTCTCTAGTCTAGGCCAGTCTTTCTAAAGTAGAAATCTGATATCAAGCCTCTGCCTTCCATGACTTCATTTTACTTTTCGGATAAACTTCAAATTCCCTTCCCCAACAGATAAGATCTTTTATGATTCAACTCCTGCCAATCTTTCAAACCTCAACTCTTGTCACTTTATAAGCCGGCCATACTGAACTACTTGATTCACTGGATGGGCTGTGTTCTCTCCATCCTTGACTGGATATGTACTACTATTCCCCTACTTGGAATATACCTATTTCTTCTAGTTTGTTACCTGCCCAGGTGACATCTCCGGAAAGACTTCACTAATGTCTTACTCCCCCAGGCTTGGGTAGTTGTCTCTTTTCTGTTTTTATAATACCTTGTGTGTGTGTGTGTGTGTACGTGTGTGTGTGTGTGTATATATATATATATATATATAGCATTATGATTGTCCAAGTTTTCCTTGAAGGAGGGACCTTGTTTTCATCTGTGAACCCTGGAGGCCTACCTAGCATAATACACTCATTCACATATTAAAAGAATAGCTGGCTAGTCAGAATGAAAGGCAATAGGAAGGTAAAATGCAGTTAGTAGTGGTATACTATGCATCTTGGAGTTAAGGAAAGTTCCAGAAGTTTAGGTTTTATTTGTAGTTGAGGTATGTCCATACAATGAAATATCATTTGGCCATAAAAGTAAATGAGGTTCTGATCCATGCTACAACATAGATAAACCTTGAAAATATTATGCTGAGTGAGAGAAGTCAGACACAAAAGGCCATATATTGTAGGAGTTCATTTGTATGAAATGTCTAGAAAAGGCAGGTCCATAAAGAAAGAAAGTAGACGACTGGTTGCAGGGACCTTGGATTCGGGCATGGGGGAATGGAGAGTGACTGCTAGTAGGTGTGAGGTTCTTTTTGGAGGGATGAAAATGTTCTAGAATTAGATAGTGGTGATTGATATCCAACTTTGTGAATATACTAAAGACTACTGAATTGTACAGTTTAAAAGGATAAACTTTTGGTGTTTGAATTAGATATCAGTAAAGCCATTATTAAACAATTACAGTTGATCAATGTGGTTTTATAGGGCTGGGCATTGTGGCTCACGCCTGTAATCCCAGCAGTTTGGGAGGCCAAGGTGGATGGATTACAAGGTCAGGAGTTTGAGACCAGCCTGGCCAACATGGTGAAACCCCATCTCTACTAAAAATACAAAAATTAGCCGGGCGTGGTGGTGTGCGCCTATAATCCCAGCTACTCGGGAGGCTGAGGCAGGAGAATTGATTGGACCCAGGAGGCGGAGGTTGCAGTGAGCCGAGATCATGCCACTGTACTCCACCCACAAGATTCCATCTCAGGAAAAAAAAAAAAATTAGTTTTATAGTACCTAAAACATTGTGCATATTTGAATGTCAATTGGATGATCCAGGTATAATCTTAGCAATCTGTATGTCATAGTGCCAGATTCAGGACTTCTATTCCATGTTTTGATTTTGAAGCAGATAATTTAAAATTAAAATCTGATCTTTTAGAAGTAGAAGAACTCAATCAACCTACAAATATTACTGACTTTTCAATTTGTTAAATGTGCATTATTTGGCCAACCATGTGCTTTGGGAATAAACTTATGAAGTACATTGTTTAAGTCTTATAAATTGATGGATGGAGGTGAAAAACACATTTTCTTTTTCTGTTTTATTTATTTAATTTTTATTTTTTTGAGACAGAGTGTTGCTTTGTTGCCCAGGCTATAGTGAAGTGGCATGATCTCGGCTCACTGCAACTTCTGCCTCCTGAGTTCAAGCAATTCTCACACCTCAGCCTCCTGAGTAGCTGGGATTACAGGCACCCGCCACCACACCCGGCTGATTTTTTTTTATTTTAGTAGAGATGGGGTTTCACCATGTTTCCCAGGCTGGTCTCGAACTCCTGAGCTCTCAGGCAATCTGCCCATCTCAGCCTCCCAAAGTGCTAAGATTACAGGCATAAGCCACCACGCCTGGCCAGAAAACACATTTCCAACATGATTGCACTGTCGAGTTGGGACACATTGGAGTACATTCTGTCTACAGATGATGTGAAGATATTTTCTCCTTTTGTTACCTTCCTCATTACTTGTTTAGATATTGATCTAGAAATGCAGCGATCTGTGCTGCTGTCCTAGGGAATGTTTTTCTCTCCTGTTTCACTGGATTATATGAAGACTGAGCTGTTTGTTGTATGAATTTAGTAATACTTTAAAACTTAACTGCTTTCCATCTAAAAATCAGTTCTGACCTACAGGGAACTACCATAAGAGATTTTCTCTTATTCATAGTTATGCGTGGGGTACAAAAGAAGTGGTCTCTGTTGGCAAGAAGAGCTTATGTTGTTCTTTTTTCCAGGTCTTTTGGTGGGCCTTGTGCTTCGGTATGGCATTCACGTTCCGAGTGATGTAAATAATGTGACCCTGAGCTGTGAAGTGCAGTCAAGTCCAACTACCTTACTGGTAAATGTTAGTGGAAAATTTTATGAGTATACGCTGAAAGGAGAGATTAGTTCACATGAACTCAATAATGTTCAAGATAATGAAATGCTTAGAAAGGTAAGTTCTTAAAGGAAATGTTTGAATCTTTTTTGTGTCTAACTAGCAGCAAAATGATTCAGGAGAAAATAAGAAATGGATTTTTAATGATATTTAAAATAATGAGTCTTTTTAAATGGAGTAAAACCTGAATTAACAAATGTAATAATGTAAGGAAATGGATATGCCTGTACAACTCATTTTCTGATTGAGGCTAAGTAGTATAACTCTTTTTGTTTCACTCTGGGTTGTTTACAGCTTGTTGTGATAAACGGAGACTGGGATTGAGTTAAGCAGAATTTATAAGCGTTTCTTTCCATTTGCAGATGGTCCTTATAGTTTTCTTTTTCTTTTTATTTATTTGTTTTATTTTTTCTGAGATGGAGTCTCACTCTGTCGCCCAGGCTAGAGTGCAGTGATGTGGCTCACTGCAGCCTCTGCCTCCTGGGTTCAAGCAGTTCTCCTGCCTCAGCCTCCCAAGTAGCTGGGATGACAGGCGCTCACCACCACGCCCGGCTAATTTTTGTATTTTTTAGTAGAGAGGGGGTTCTACCATGTTGGCCAGGCTGGTCTCCAACTCCTGACCTCAAGTGATTCCCCCGCCTCGGCCTCCCAAAGTGCTGGGATTACAGGCGTGAGCCACTGTGCCCAGCCGATCCTTATAGTTTTATAGTACTTCAGCACATTGGCTTTATTTGATAATACCTAAAATATTCTATTAATATTTCTTTCAATTCTTTCTTGCCTTGCTTGTATTCTATACTGATCACAATTTAATCTTTCTTTGATTCACAATCTGACACAACTTCAGGGGCCCTAAGTGTGAGTCTGAGGTATTGTACCATGCTGTGCATAAAGCTTTATGTTAGAGTTTGGGTTGCAATTGTACTCGCTCCCAGCCATCCCTGGAGCTGCTTTCTCCTGTCTCCCTCATAGGTTTATCATGGTGTTTCTCAGTGCTACTTTGCTCATATCTCTTTGTTTTCTCCTGCCCTTTGCTGTTTGCCTTCACTTCTGTCTGCTACACTGGCAGGACTTGACTTTTTTTTTTTTTTTTGACATAGGGTTTTACTCTGTCACCCAGGCTGGAGTGTAGTGGCATGATCTCAGCTCTCTGCAACCCCCGCCTCCCAGGCTCAGGCGACCCTCCAACCTCAGCCTCCTTAGTAACTCAGACTGCAAGCACGTGCCACCATACCCAACTAATTTTTGTATTTTTAGTAGAGCTGGGGTTTCACCATGTTGTCTAGGCTCGTCTCAAACTCCTGGGCTCAGGCGAACCACCCACCTCAGCCTCCCAAAGTGCTAGGAGTGCAGGCAGGACTTGACTTTTATAGCTACTTGGTTGTGTTTCTGACCATATTTAATGCTTTTAAAATTTCATATGAACTTGAGGTTTACCTTGCAGCAAGAGTTCTTTCCACCTGTGGAAAATTCCAGTTCCTTAAAAGGTTTAGTAAATGAAGTTTTAGCATGGGTTTGTGTGTAGCTGCTTTGTGTTCATGTCACATTCTGCTGCAGCCTTATGAACAGAAGGGGGCATTTACATTTTTATGGTGACTAGATCTTACAATGAGTGGACTATCGGAAGTAGAAATCTGAGCCGTACAGAAACTTTTTACTACAATATTATACACCTTTAGAGATGTTATCTGTGTAAGAAATCTGTTTCTTTTTGCCAACAATAATACTGTACTCTTAAGTTTTATATTACCAGTTTGGGGTTTCGTTCATTCATTCATTTATTTTTGGGACGGAGTTTCGCTCTTGTTGCCCAAGCTGGAGTGCAGTGGCACGATTGTGACTCCTCCGCCTCCCAGGTTCAAGCATTTCTCCTGTCTCAGCCTCCCGAGTAGCGGGGATTACAGGCATGCACCACCATACCTGGCCAATTTTATATTTTTAATAGAGATGGGGTTTTGCCATGTCGGTCAGGCAGGTCTCGAACTCCTGACCTCAAGTGAGCCACCTGCCTCGGGCTCCCAAAGTGCTGGGATTACAGGCGTGGGCCACTGCACCCAGCCAGGTTTCTTTTATTTAAAGCAAAAATAATGTTCATCCTTTCTCTTATTTATTTATTTATTTATTTATTTATTTATTGAGACAAAGTCTCACTCTTTTGTCCAGGCTGGAGTGCACTGGCACGATCTTGGCTCACTGCAATCTCTGCCTCCCGAGTTCAAGCGATTCTCCTGCCTCAGCCTCCTGAGTAGCTGGGATTACAGGCACGTGCCACTACACC